CTGCTTCATTTCCCTCTTCGCGGCTTCATTTCCCTCTCCCGATCTGGCTAATCTACATGCCTCCGTCGAAGGAGGCATGTAGTCTAGACACACCCTAAATGTTTTCAGAATGATGTCATTAGCTTGTAAGGTCTTATGTAGATTTCAGGGGCATATATCATGTGTTCATATTATTTACAGTTATATTCTGGTAGCCACAGAGGCGTCAACCATGCACAGACATCACAGAATTTTCAATCTCAACAGATAACACAGAACAGTTGGGTGAGAGAAACCAGAGAATGGCAGGATGGGATCACAAAAGTAATATGCTCACTGTATGAGCGTTCCTTGGCCAATGACTAGCAACAACCCCAATTTGACACCAGCCTTGCTCTTAGTCTCATTATTTTCTATGTCTTGCTCACTGCTGGTCACACCATATGTACCTAAAAATAATGTTTATTTTAGTTATTATCTTACTGGCAATTGCTACAAGTAGATATTGCATTTTCAACCTAACACAGCAATACCAAACCACCTCAACTAATAGAGAATGTGTTGTTTTTTTACACCAGATGCTTAGTCCAAAATCACTAATGAAATCAAAGGATCAGTGTTTCTATATTCTATGTGGGCAAAAGACAGTAAGTACCTACTGACGTTTCAGTCAATACATAGAAGATAAATGTGTATATTTTATGTTTAGATTATACTTTTTCCCAGGGGTAATGTTGGTTGTATTTAATGAAGGAAAGCTGGAGTGAGAATCCAATGGTTTAAAACTATCACATTTTTATTATTCCTCCATTATTTTATTACTATTCCATTATTACTAAGCCAAGCTTTTGACTAACTTCATCAGGCATCAACATCAAACATATGTCATCAGCTCAACCTCTATTACTTTGACGCCTCTGCATTTTTCTACTTGGACTACTTCAATAGTTGTTTTTAATTGGATAGAAGACATTCCTGAGCCCTGCCACGTTAGCTTGAAAAATCAGCACAATAAACTGTCAGTGAAGAATTCCTACTAGTATTACTGCTTGTGCTAGGTCAGACCTTTTTCTTCTGTGCCTTTTGTTTTAATGAGGGAGACACAGTAGATGAGGTAATCTTTTATTGGACCAAAGGTACAAGTTTTGGAGTGTCACAGAGCTCTTCTTTGGATCTGGGCAAGGTAACCAGAGTGTCCTAATTTGTGTTTAGCGTAGGCATGCTGTTAGCCTTCTCCAGGCCCGAGGAAGAGCGCTGTGAAATTCCAAAGCTTAAATATTTCACCAACAGAATTTGGTCCAATAAAAATATTACCGCATGCACTTTTCCCTCTCTCATCCTGGAACCACCTGGGCTACACCATTTCCTTTTCATCTCACTCTGAGACTTGTGCTGCCCATGAAAGAATATTATAGTAAACATGGCATCAAATTTGCCCTTACAATGTTCCAGAAAAAGTTGTAAGAATACTGGCTGTCAGAGCAAGAACAAATGAAGTCCCAGCACTGTAATTAGCTTAACTGAACAGCTACCTACTGAGCGTGATTCACTTGATTCCCATTGCTGTTACTCAGTAATCCATTACATGCTGTTTTCATGTAGAACTCTTAGATGCTAAGGGCCAGATCCTGCAGACATTTAGGTGAGGAATCCTTATGCTTAGAGGGAAAGGGTTTCTTACCTAAGGATTAGGCCCCAGATCTTCTAGAACAACAAGTCTTTATGTACTGGCTACATGTAGGTGTTAGAATAAAAGTAGGTCAGGCTGTTTGTAAGAATTGTGAAACTTGGAACCTAGTTACCCCCTCAAGGGAAGGAAAATCCACAAAGTCTCCTTGTAAAGTTCTGTCTACATTTTTCCAGTCCTGCAGAAAAGATCCAGTGCCAAACACTGTGGCTCCACAGGAGGTCCCCAGTACCTCTTCTCCCCTCCCCATCACTCACTGAAGGTCCCAAATAGGAGAGAGGGAGGGAGAGACTACTAAAAAGAAAATACAACATGGATCTGTATTTCCATGGGGAAGTCAAAAGTTCTAGGGCTTTCTTAGTTCATACTAAACCTTCCTCCTCTTTTCTTCTCCTCATCCCCAGACTTCTACTGGAAAAAATGGGATCTGCACATGTGTAGCCCCTTCTTATGTTAAGATTAGAAGACATTATGAGGTCATGAAACCTGCACTGGGAAGCCTCCCCTGGTCTCCTTAACTGAATTAAGAGCTTAATGAAAGTTTCTCCCTGGTGTAAGGCCAGTGAAATGAGAGTTTTCCAGTAATGTTTTCTTAGTTTTAGAATAAGAGTCATGACGTTCATTTTGTTTAACAAGAACACCATGAAAAGCTCCACTGGCCCCATTTAAACAAAAACAGCACGAAGTACCTCAACACTACACTAAAGCTGAATGTGCTGTGGAAATCCTCTGAGAGCTATATTATCAACAGCATTCATGTGATTCATCCTATCACAAAAGCAACAACAAGGCAACAGGTAATGACGCTAGGAGAGCATTGCATTGACTGGGCTTCTCTTTTAAACCTACCCCATGAAAGCAGGGAGGGAGAAATTCCCAGGGGATTATTTCCAAGTCCCCGGAGCCCTCGGCTAAGTTCTGAACCGTTTGCGCAGCAGGATCACGGGGAATTTCTCCTGCCTCCTGAGCAGCTCTTACAGGGGGAGAGTTTCAGGAACGCCTAAGGGATTTAGGCGCGCACACGTTCCAATGACAGTTGCTGTTTACTCCTCTAAAATACACGCGCGCTGAAGTATCACCCGGCGTTGCCAGGCTCCTACCTTCAGGAAATCTCCCCCTTGGCAGTCAATATTGACGAAGTCATAGTCTATTGAGATGAGCTCCTCGGGGTCTGCGATGAAAAAAGTGGCACAGTGCAGCTGGGGCTGCTCGGCGGTGAAGGTGAACTGCCCCTCCACGCTCAGCATGTCAATGCACCCTGGAGAGACAGACCGCGGCTCAGCCCCGCGCCCAGCTGCAGCCTCCGGGCCAGCTCCCGCCGACAACCCGGCGCCCCAGGGGGAGAACTGAGCGGGGTGGGGAGGAGGCTGCTGGGCACTGGGAAAAGTGTGTGTGTGTGTGTGTGTGTGTGTGTGTGTGTGTGTGTGACATGCCGTTCCCACCGCACATTTGTCTGCACTCCAGCAGTCCCCACTGATGCCGGCTGGCATCCTACACGTGCGTGGCGCTTGCACCTCCGCGCCAGGGGTCCAGCTCTTCCCCCCTTCCCTTAGCTACAGGACCCAGGATCCCTCCTCCTCAGGCGTCCCGCCGAGTCGCTTCAGCCCAGCTCCCACGGGTCTGGTCTCGCTCCTCACCCCTCACCCCCACGCCCTGCCCAAGACACGCGCCGCCACCCCCAGCACTGCCACCCCCAGCTCTGAGCTTCCCCTCCCCGCCTTAGCCGAGAAGCCGGTAAAACTCACTGAGCGCCCGCTGGTAGAGCTGCCTCTCTGCCAATTCCCGCTTCAGGTCCGCGCTGAGGAGCAGGAAGGGCTCGTCCTCCCCCGCACCCCGCACCTGGCGAGAGAGACACCTGGGCAAGGAAGCCGCTCCGGCGCCCGGGCCGAGGGGGGACCCACGCGGGGGTGAGAGCGAGCGAGCCAGCCAGCCCCGCCGAGCGCGGTGAGTCTCTCGCTCCGCCAGGCTGGCTCGGGGCTGGGGGAGAACTGCGCCCTCGATGCTCCCTCTGGTCTGCTCCCGAGGCGTGCGGAGGGGAGTGGGAGCGGGTGCGGAGAGGACGGGATGCCGCACGCCCGGAACCGCAAGCTGGAGAAGGTGTGAGGAGTTGGGCGAGGTGTGAGTGGCATTGCTCACCTCTAGGTATCGGGTTTCCCCCCTGAGGGCGGCCAAGAAGATCAGGACGCAGTGGCACTGAAGGCTGAGAGCAGAAGGCATGCTGGCCCTTCCGCTCCGCTCCCGCCCTCTCTCACCCCAACTTTACTGGTCTGTGCTGAGAGGCAGCAGCAGCCTGTGGGCTTCCTTCGACAGACCCTTTTTATAGAGCAGTGGGGAGGGGAGGCATTTGGTCCCTGTACTGATAGGAATTCAGTTACCATGGGTTACCCTAGCTCAGTGACAAAGTACGTGGGTATGACGAGGGTCCAAATCACAGCCACAAATTTCCAAGTCAGTCTAGCTCTTCCCATTGGCAGCTGTCTTTTCTCCTTACCTGTCTGGCATAGTTAAACAGCTCCAGGGCCAAGCACTCTGTACCTCAGCACCCGCTAAACAGGGGACTGACAGTTAGGATTAGCCCCAACCATCCAAAGGCAAAGCTGGAAACAAAGAGCCTGCCCACATCCCTCTCCCCTCACATGGAATTTCAACAGCACATCCATAGAAAGGCAGCAGCATCCCCCACTGAACCAGAACATGTCTACAGACTCTGTTCCCTGGACCCTCTGACTGCATGGGCATCTGCAATGCTATCAGTGCCTATAAAGGCTCTTACCAATTATTTGCTACACACTGAGATGCTTTACATAGTGTTGAACATTAATTATGAACGCTAGTGTATGAGAATTACTTAATTATCCCTCACAACACCCTTGTGGAGGAGGTAGGTAAATGAAGGTTCCTCTCCCAGAGATGTAAAAGCAGGAGCATATTGGGTAGAACAACAATGCTATCAGTGCCTATAAAGGCTCTTACCAATTATTTGCTACACACTGAGATGCTTTACATAGTGTTGAACATTAATTATGAACGCTAGTGTATGAGAATTACTTAATTATCCCTCACAACACCCTTGTGGAGGAGGTAGGTAAATGAAGGTTCCTCTCCCAGAGATGTAAAAGCAGGAGCATATTGGGTAGAACAAAGTGTCCCCCTTACCCCCCCCCCCCCCCCCACACCCACTGGAAGGTCAAACCAGGAACCTTCCTGCCTATTTTGGTTCCGGCAGCTTCCATGGGCAACAGATTACATATGACTTCTCCCTGGTCACAAAGGCTACATGGAGGTAAATGCAGGGACAAGAGGAGGACAGAGCAAATCCCAGGAAACAGTAGGGTTGTCTCAGCAGCTCACGCTTTAGGATTTGCTCATTTGAAGGGATTTATTTATTTAAAGATTGTTGGGAGTTCTTTACTAAAGGACTCTGGAATTCTGTCAATGAACTTCTTTATTGTCACACCATTCCTATTTTAGAATTTACTTTTATCTGCCCTGTTTCCTCTTATACTCAGTGTAGACATGCCAAATTTCAAAATAATCTATTTCAAAATAGATTCAAAATAAGATTTTGAATAGCATAAGATTTTGAAATTTGCATAGCATAAATTGTGTACCTTATTTTGAGTTTAGGGTGCTGTGTAGATGCACCCTAAGAGAATAAAATGCCAAATTCAGCTGCCTCGGGCTCCTATAAAAGTCACAGCTCTAAGTCTCTGGTCATGCTAGCATAGAGAAGAAGGACTGAGGAAAGGAGTAGTTGCAAGAGAACATTACATGGGAGTCAGGAGAGACTGGAGATGGAGAAATACCATCCTATTCTCACTCATTCTCCAGTAGGAGAATCTAGCATCATTCAGCTTCTGTCATCACATGTTCATTTTATAAACTGAGTAAAGCAAACACAAAACATATATAGGCCAAGATCACAGTGTAACAGACAACTAAATTCTGAAGGCAAATCTAGAGCAAGTCAAGGCTGCAACTGAAATGTGATTGTCTGGCAATACAGTTCTGGTCCCAGGCTGTCTGGCAATACAGTTCGGTCCCAGCAGCTGCCTAGCATCCAGACCTGTTCCAAATCCTATTAGGGACACAGCACAGAATTTAGTGCAGGGCTACTCAACAGAGCTACTGTTTGTTTGTGGCCCACAGTACAGTTTGGATTTAAACGGGGCTCAACACACAACCTGCAGGTGGGATCCTTTGAACATGGCCTCCACTGGGAACATGTTCCACAACAGCAAGTCAATATAATGGTCTTCTGTTGATATTCATTTTAATAGTTAAGTTCCTGGACTGTCATTGTACATTAAAAGTGCTGTCATATGGGTGGAAATCCGGTAAATATTGCATTTTATTAATATCAGCAGAACTGGCTTAAATGGGGCCTGTGTGTTGTGTAGTCTTGCCTTAATCTTTGTATTCATGACCATCAGTATGAAATAAGTTATTTGCATATATCTTTGCATGTATATGAAACCACACTTAAGTTGCGGCCCTCAGCATGTGCTATGAGTATCATTGTGGCCCCCAGGACTTCCAAAGTTGAGTAGTCCTGATCTAGTGGATGGTTTTGATTGGTACTAATCCAATTACACTAAAATAAGGGAAGCCCCTAGCTCATGTTTCCTGATGACTTTCAGGCCTCCAGCCTGGAATACCCAAAGAGACAGCGAATGTTTGGTGAACACATGAGCAGGTGAAAGTTCCACACATTATTTCCAGGTTCTTAATCATTTCAAGCTTGTGACAAGCCACTCATATAATTAATAAACAGTAACAACATAATCAGGTGGCCCATAGATCTCACAGATTGCTCTCACATTTGAGATGTAAGTCTTCTGTAGAATATGAACCAGAGATGTTCTCAGTGATGATTGATACCTTCTTGAGGAGCCCAACATCACATAAGAATAATTGGGTTCAACTGTAAGTGACTTTCCTGTGAGATTTACAGCACTTTTTGTCTTGCCAAAAACAGCTTTGCTTGTGATGGTTCATTGCTTCCAGTCCTGGCTAAAACTTGGGTGTTGGCAAGAAACACAGCCAAACCTTTTGGAACCTCAAAGAAAGATTTGGATCAAGTTCAGTCCTAAACACGAGCAAGAAGTTCACTAGTGTTATTGTAGCAACACCAATTACCCACTACAATTATTTGTACTTCAAAACAGTTGTGAAGAGATCCAGTTAGATAGAAACATACCAGGGAAATTATTTCAACACAGATTAAATCATCATGCCCCCACCGCCTGAACATTAATATTAAAAACAAAAACAAAAACAAAACTACTCTTGATATACATTTAAGAGCTTGAGAATCAAAATCCAAACAAAGGCTAAGGGCAAATTATCTTCTTATTTACATAATTTCAAATCCCTAAAGACTATACTATTGTAAGGACAAAATATGATTTTATAAGTTACATAAATCTTGTATTTATATTATCTTTTAGTGAGAGCCATTTCTATGGCTATATAGATCAGAAGGCCAAGTACGGCATTCAGTTACTACGGAAAAATATAAGATTTCAAATATTATGTTTTCAATTTGTACAGCCAGAGTTAAATTTGTTTGTGTCCTTGTTAAACTTTGAATAACCTGTAAGTTTCTTAACACAGAGTTGAATGCTGTAAGTAATTCCAGGCTGCAATATAATATTTCATTATTATTGTGAGCTAATACACTTTCTTAATGAACTGCCTTCTGCAACATATTCAGTGAATCCCTAGCTTACTTACACTATGCTTTTTTTACTTCCTACCCTACCAGGTCTGTATTTCTCACTGTAATACTCTTGTTTAAGACTCCTTATACAATCCCAACTTTTTATTGCAAAGCTTTTTATTTAATTTTATTTGTTGAGCAACTGTTGGTTTTGACAATCAAATACAAGCAGAAAGAAATTACAGATTTTCATGGTATCCAAAATTATTTTAACATATTTTGTAAGTGAAAAGCATCCTAAATGCCACACATACCCTTTGGCAAACCAATGAGGTGTTTTTTTTCTTTCGTTAATTGACTAATGATAACATTTCCTAGGACATGTCTTTTGCTAACATCCAATTATACAACTTAATAAAACACATTTCCAATCTGACTCAGCTTCAGGCTACATAATTTCATTTTTCTCACATTATTCGGGTTTAGCTTACACTAGCAAGCTAAGCAGATGTAATTAGTTACCAGTGTAGCTCCACCACTAGCATAAAGAGTAGAGGTTGTTGTGCAACTGCTATATACACTCAGATTCTGTCTACATCAGGGGTCAGCAACCTACAGCATGCGTGCTACTTATGGTATGCGAGCCAATTTTCAGCAGCACATGGGAAGGAGCTCAGCCCTACCCTTAGTCCCCTGTGCAGCCACCGGAGAGTGCTCCCTCCTCCCTGCAGCAGGTTAGGCTGCGGTGGGAGGAAGCAGCGCTGAGGCTGAGGCTCCTCAGCGGTGCCTCAGCTGGAACTGGAGGTGCCACTGCTGCGGCCACATGGTCCAAAGATGGTCCAGAATCACATGGCAGTGGCAGTGGGACCTCTGGGGCTGGCCCTGGACCATCTGGCTGTGGCAGTAGGACCTCCAGGGCTGGCTCCAGATCATGTGGCCGCAGTGATGGGGCCTCCGGGGCTGGCCGTGAACCACGTGGACCCTGGCAGCGGCAGCAGGGTCCTCCCTTCAGGGTGGCCCAGGACAGTGTGCAAGAGGGCACAAAGCCAGGTAAGGTCCCCCCTCGTGTCCAGACCCCTCCCCACATCCCAATCCCCTCACTCCCCTCATTCCCCTCCCCACACCAAGATCCCTTACCCCAGCTTGCTCTGACACCCTCCCTTGTTCCTGTACCCTCCCTCCTAGCCAGATACCCCACTCTGCTTCTGCACCTTCCCCCTGGCCTGGCCAGACATCCCCTACTCCTGCATCAACCATTGCAACTGCACCCTCTTTCCTGGCCACACACTGCACCCTCCCTTGTTCCTGCTTCCTCCACCTGGTCAGACACCTTACTCCCAGCCTGCTTCTGCACCCTACCTCCCACCCAGACCTTACAACCTCTCCCACTTCTGCACCCTCCCTCCCAGATCCTGCACCCCATCCCTATCCTACTTGCTGGAAACTCTGTCTCACACACTGTACCCCTCATTTTTTTTCCATATCCCAGAATCTAAAGGGGTCCACGAACTCCAGAACCCCAGAAAAGTAAATCTGGTCTACGGGAAGCCCTGAACCTCAGTCCCCCCCTCCTCACCCCATGAGGCTGGGGTACTAGAGGAGTGGGGTCTCTCAGTTAGGGCCACATCAGTGAGGGTTGGGGGTTTTTGGAGAAGCTTTTTTGCTTCTCACTTGTGTGGTCCCCAACTGATTTTTCTGTGGGTCACTGACTCCCAACCCAAAAAAAGGTTCTCCAACCCAGCCATAAA